ATGTCTCTCACCCTATGAAAGTGATACAAGGTTACATGAGCTTGGTGTGGCCTGAGTAATGGAGGAGTCGGTATCTAAATGTTCCTGAGATAAGTGATTCAATCTTATAGTGTTCCCTTGGTTAAGCCAAGACCCCAAGAGCCTTATCAGCAGACAAACTGCAAGCTGGTTGTAGATTTCAAAGAATTAGCACTAGCTGACATGGAGGAAGATATTCATCATGAAAACTAAATTATCCCACCCTGTCCTATAATTTCCTTCCTGAGTTTTTCAAAGGGAAAAGTCTTACCAAAGTCATGAGCAGCATCTGTGCCAACCTGCTGAGGCCTGGAATCTGGATTTTAGTCCATATAAGATTAGCTAGAGGCAGCATAAGCACACCAACGTGCCTACCGTCCCTGTCCTATTGTTTCTTTTATTTTTCTTATATGTACCCATTTCATGTATTCCTAACTATGTATGTACTTATATCTATTATCTTGTAAGCGATTGACAAATCAAAATAAATACATAAAAAAATAAAAAAAATAAATTTACGTCACTTTGCCTATTCAATAATAATAATATAAGGAGAGGAGATGAAGGTTAATTCCACCCCCCACAGCAGAGCTCTCATACTCACAGCCCGTGGGCTGGATGTGTCATGCACTGGCCACGCCCGTGCCCAGTTTAGCGAAGGGGGAAAAAAGTCCTGATATGTCACATGACACCACCATGACAATGTGTTTGACACCCCTGCTCCACAGTTTCAAGGAAACTTGTGCTTCCCATTTATTCCTCAGTTGATACATGTATGAACATTGGCCTAAAAGGGAAAACATTCCTTTATGATCAATACAAGGGCCAGCCAATCAGAGTTGTCTGTTTCAGGACAGCCTGGTCCTGTAAGAGGGGAGGGGAGATGCTTTGTGATGAACACAAGGAGCAATCAGTGCATATAATGCAAACCGGAGGCGGTTTAGCTTAGTGGTTAAGGCACCAGGCTAGAAACCAGGAGACCATGAACTCCAGTCCCACCTTGGACACGAAAGTCGTCTGGGTTTCTTTGGGCCAGTCTCTCTCTCTCTCAGCCCAATTCAAAGGTTGTTGTTGTGGGAAAATTACTGAGGAGGTGGAAAGACTATTAGAATAACTGTGAACAGTCTTGAGTTATTTATAAAAATAATAAAGGCATTATAAAATTAATCCAAAGTAAAAAAAAAAAAACCTATTTCCACTCTATTGGACACTGATTCTCTTTTAATTTGATTTTTTTGAAGGAGGCTGTATTCATCTCAGATATGTTGTGGAGTATGCTTCCACAGTGGCTTTACTAATTATATGTCTCTCTTTGCCTTGAGATGTATCTTAAAAGCTATCATTAATATTACACTGTTGAAAAGAGCCACTTCAAAAGAGCCCAGTAAGTAAAGTTCAGTTTCTAGTGCAGGTAAGTGAAGAATGGTGGGAGGCATCGTTCAGCAATCTCTTCTGAATGGCAAGTTCTTCAGTCCTTCAATCCCTGAAATAGGTTCAGTCCTTCAACCCTGGAAATATGCTCAGTGCAAATATCGTACCATATTTTCACTCTCATGATAAAAAAAACATTTTTCCCTACAAGAACGTATCTACATTCCTAATTTGTTTCCAACTTACAAAATTCCTCGGGAATGGGTAGAATGGAATTATTTGCACAGCATTTTTGTAGCAACTCAGCTATTCTGTTTCCTTTCAAAGAAAATTCACGGCACTGGTTACCATTCATCAGAACAGCAATGGGTTAGCTATTTGAGCAACCCACCAAGAAAAGAGGGAACTATGGCTGAATTCGGTTTGACCTGGACTGCAACAATATTCATTTTTTGAGGTGTGTGCAAGAACACTGCTGGTGACCTTATTAGAAAACTGCTAGCCTGTCCAGCAAAATTAACTAAACTGATAAAAGTCTCCTGAATCTACAGCTCGCATATCTGAAAGAGTATGCTTGTTGTTTCCCTGCATCGGTCTTTCTCTGGCTGTTCTGTGCCTCTGCTGGCGGTAAATAAACCTGCTCAATTTCTAGTTCAGTCAAAGAGATAAGGCAGAATTAGAATAACTGAGCCATGTTGCCTTAAACAAGAGAGAACGTATTTGTGGGTGGAAATCAGAAAAAAATTGTAACCCTAGAGAGTAAAAGGATCAATAAGATGGCGGAGCAAGGTTTCTTAGTTAAATATATGCTTAGACTGATTTGTATGTAATTATAGTATATCAGGTGATTTTAATAGGATTTCTATGCTTCAGTTGGCAGCAAGTACTCTTCCTGTGCTTAATTTCAATGTTTACTAGACAGTAGAATTTACATGAGTCATCTGGTACCAGGTACTGGACTGAAGGGTATAAAATTAGGTAATTAGTTTCTTGTAAACAAAACAAAGCTTTATTTCTTTAACTTAGTTAGAAATAGCTCCTCTTGAGTTAGACAAAGGGAAACCTTACCAGGAACAACGACAAAACATAGCTTTGCAACTAAGCGAAGTAATCAGTAATTGCCTTGACCAAAATGAACATGCATTGGAAATTTTTTCCTCTTACAAAGTGTAAAATCTAGTATTGAATAATAGCAAGCTTCATCAAAGGTGGAATTCCTCCCCCCCTGAATTATGAAACTGCTAAACTGCTAATCAGGCATCACCTCACACTGTTAGCTGGAACATAGTGGAAAGTTTGAGTGGAGCTCCATGCAACTGAAAGGGACACTAAATCCATAAAATCTCATCTTTTTGAATTAGATTCCATTCCTTTCGTTTTGTGGCCAGGTAAAACTTCGTTGCCTACAATTCTGAATTCTTATAAGACATTTTGCCCATCGGACTTTGCCTCTGCATAACATTGTACAAATAATTTGCTGTAAGCCTGCCTGTTTCATGAGAAGCCATCTTACACTAGGTCAGACGCTCTGATTTACATTTATAGCAGATCAGACACGTCGACTTACTCTGGGGCTCTGTTGGAAGAGAAGCTTTTTCCAAAAGCAGTGGGGAATCTGTAGACATCCCCATGTGGCCGAGCTACGAGTCATGCTGCTGGGACTGATCCATTTGGAAGGCTTGTGCAACATGTAGCAACCCAAGTAATGATGGATGTCACGAGGATAGCTCAAATTAGGCTTTTTCTGAAATTCGTTTATTCAGTGAGTTCGAGGAAGAAGGCATGCTGAAGGGATGTTATCTTCAGGGACTCCACTGTCCAAAAACAAAAAGCTGCCTCCCAACTAATAAGGACTTTCCCCCCCCCCCTTTAAGACTTGCTAAGTTTAAAAAAAGCACCGGCTATTCTTGAATCGGCTGAGCAGACAGAAACATCCTTCTCCTTCTGAAGCTGGTCCATAGGGCTCACCTGGAGATTCTGTTTCAGCTGACACATGAAAACATGGGGTGGGGGTGGGGGGTGGGAGAACTGGAGAGAAGAAAGGGAGGGCAAATCTGCATTTCTTATATCTCCTTGGTGAGCCCTATTATGACTGGCAACTATTGAGGTGGTACTTCAATGATATTTAATAGGAGAAGCCAGGGATTAAACCTGAGACTATTTGCTGGCAAAGCAGAACATTATATTCCCTTCACATATATGTTGTTTTTCAACATCTTGCTTTCTGTCCTCTGTTCTCTGAGACATTCCTTTCTCCTTCCCCACCTGCGGTTGATTTATATGCTTGTCACCAAAAAAGCCATGGTATAGCATTCTTTTTGGGCTGTTGAACAGTGACAAGAGGAAATGAATGAATTCATGTCCTGTTTCACAAGTTCTTTGTTACATGCAAATTTGAATACCTATTTTCCCCCCTCCCCCCAAGACTATTTCCCTCCTGGATCAGGCATTTCTGAATGTCGCTCATGCATAATATTCATATTTCAATGTATTTTGATGAGAAATGTGAGTTGGGAATTCTATTTCCATGAGACAATGGAAAAAGCTGATGTTGCTTTTCCCCAAGACATCTCTCTCTTCCTTGCTCTAAAGCTTCCTGCTGGCCCCTACCTCTTGAAAGCTAGAAAGTCTAGTTGATTCTTGAAAAAAGCACCTTTCGGACAACCATGATCTGGATGACTGAGAATCTCCATAGCCTTACCTCGATGTAAAAAGCCTCAATAGGAGAAGTTTCTCCAGGACATCTTTCCTTAGATTTTAATTGAAAGGTGAGATGTCAGGAGACTGTAGACTGCTATGATGAAAGAAGGATATTCGTGTCTACCCTTCAGACTCCTCATAAGTAAGATAAGCGAAGGAACCTCACTCTGAAGAATTCGATTTTCAATATCGATAAAATGAATATCGATAAAATGTTCTCTTTGGAGAAAAGAAAGACAAACAATTTGCTATGAGAATTGGTAGATAATAAAATCAACTTCAGCAGTATGGGGAAATGTATTAGAGGAAGAACCTGCTTCAAAGACAAAATTTATTCTGCTGTTTCTTGGTGAAGATGCAGAGTTTCTTGATGAAAAGCCAACCACTGTATTCCAGATATGAGCCTAAATATTTCCCTTGAGGCAAGTGACTCATTTGAACCAAGAAAGGCCCAAACTCTTCCAATCTCAATGAGACTGTCTTTATTTGCCATTGGTAAATAAGTAAAATAAAACCGATCCAAAAATAAAATAAAAAAGCCCTCCCCACCCAAAGAAGCCCTAAATCAGATCCATGCACCATCAACCACAGGAGAGAGAAAAAGTGAAAAGAAAAAGAAAGAAAAAGAAAGAAAGAAAGAAAGAAAGAAAGAAAGAAAGAAAGAAAGAAA